GATTTTACATTTTACCCTTAATTAGGAAATATTTGTTTTTTAGCTGATTATTGAGCAAAGATAAATCCATGGCATTTTTGTTTAAGGTAGAGACCAAGGCCAGGGATCAACAACCCGCCATGATACCAACTTCAGTCCCTGCACTAGGTGCAGCTTTTGGTGCAAAATTTCTTCAAGTATCTGGCATGTTGTTTTCTTTGAGTTCTTTGCAAGCTCAGTGTCATTTATTTTAGATATCTTTGACTTGCATACATGGTTAATTTATTTAGCAGTTGCCTTACGGTTTTGGATTTTATAAATATTATTACTATCCCTTTTCCGGTGGAGAGGCCATATACTAAAGATACTATTTTACCCTCATGTCAAAAGTTAGAAACTACTATTCTCATTATCCAAACTTACAAGCTGTGAAGAAAATTAAAAAAGGGAGAAGCTAGAAGCAAAAACTGAAAGAAAGGCATAGTTCTTATTATTATGAGATGATATTACTGTCAAGTGCAAAGCCTTTATATATAGGCTTAGTGATGCATTGGCCAAGAAACAAATAATCAATCCATAATAATTCCAAATCAGCTCTAAGGCCTATTACTATAATTGACTCAACCACTATTAATACAGTCTTCTAATATCTCTTAACACAAGTTTAGTTTTTTTTGTTTAGAATTGCAAAATTTATAAATACTAAAACTAAAGTTAAAACCGCAGTCATACCAAACAAAGCCTAATTAGGCTATTTTGAGCCTATTTTTCTGATGACATGGCATTTTCTTTTCTTGGCATCAAACTAGTTACAAAGAAAGAGTTAACCAATCTTATTTGGCTACTTGTAAAGAAAATGTCATGTCATGGAAAGACTAAGCCCAAAATCAGCTAGAACTTAATGGGTATTGAAGGGGAAAAGACAGAATGATGATGTACGATTATTTCATCTATTAAATTATGGCTAATTTATTTCAACAGAAATGTAGGGGGGCTAATTCATTCAACTTGAAAGTATGAGGAGACATTTATTTTAAGAACAAGGGTTCATTTCAATAGTCACTGGTAGTGGAGAGGTGAATATACCCTTTTTGCCTTCTTTTTTATTCCCATTTATTCCAAATTATCTAGGCATATGAGCTGTCTTTGCCTTCTGTTATTTTCTGCTAGGTTGATATGTTCTACCGTATGGAAGAGGTGGTGGTGTAATTCATCAATCTTTTGAAATGTGTTTTACTTTAAAGTGTTTTACTTTACAGGAAAGCATTTGCTGACAATCTACAAGATCAGAGTTCAGGAGAAAGAGAAAGAGAACTGGATTTAAACAGCTCCGAAAGGGGTGAAAGAC